GCATCATGACCTGACCTGAGCTCTTTTTTGCCGCAAATTCGTGCATTTATCGTAGAACAGCTATGAAAGGTTGATCTTATTTAAGGGTTTTTCCATAGTTTCGTTTGCTTCTGTCTTTATCATCGGATCCCTCAGTTCAATGTCCCATTGTTGAGCCTCACTACCCATATCCTGCTGACGTGAAAATACCCATAAAACTGCTGTTTTTCAGCTCGAGGTGAATGCCATCACGACTCCAAAAACTGCAGTCCATGGCAATATCCGACTGGCGTTCCATTGCTCTCCGGCTACACTCCGATTCCTGATAAAGTCTGTTGGGTTCAATTATTCATAGCCTCTAATATATCACCCCTTTTTCTCAATACCATTTCAGTTCTACTGCATTTTGGACATGGATGATGGCTATATGGCGTTCGCAACCGACCAGCACTACCTGGGTGTTGCATTCCGCAATCTTCAGGGCAAGACTTTGTATCCGATCGTGTCAGCTGTATGGGGTCATTGCGAGATCACGATGAAGTACCTCGGAGGCATTAGAACGTAAGCGACCGCAATTTGAGCCTTTGCCTTTTTCACCGATTCTTCGTGCCAATCCCTCGTGGACGATGTTCTCACCAGATACGGAGAACATACCCGAGAAGGATCCAACTGACAAGAATTCAGGCATGCCATTCGATCCTAGCGCGCCTCCTAGTGCCCTTTTGCCTCCGCCTTCACGTATGCGTTTTCATCCCTCATCTGAAAATGTGCCTATCATTGAGTACAAGTATCTCTGGCCAACGGTATTTGATGACTGATAAGAAAAGGCCCTCAGGTCGCCATGGTCATTCAAGATTAGATGTGTACTCCTAGGAAACGTTGATCTTAATCTGCCTTCCAAATCTTGCTAGGCGATTTTCTGAACCTAGTCATGAAACTGAATAGCGTAGCGGCAGTGGTCCGGACTTTTAAGCAAGGGCTCGTGGTATCGTGTCTTTTGGGTTTACTTCTTCGCTTTCATCGTGAACTTGCAAAAATTCCATCATTTCATTACGTAAACGCTCGTCACTTGGCGCTATCGCAATATACGGGGCACTGTGGTAGCAGTGCTTTCAAAACTGCATAAAATAGGAAATTTTCGTCTAAAACCTTACTAAGCCTTAGGGGAGGGAATAGACACTCCAAGTGTGTAGGCTTTAGATTTTTCGGAGTTTCGCCCCTCCTAGGCTTAAGTCCTGGAGATTGCCCCGTATTTCGCAGAATAGAGCCGTCATAGGTGCCAGCATATTGTCCCATTTCTTGAAACCGACAAAATGACGGTACTAAAAGTCAAAAACGAGGCTTTATTTGAGATTCATAGAGAAATATTGCTCTGAAAAGCAAAAGCAAAGAAGTACACTCGCAAAGGAATCGATCCCACGAGCACTCGCTCAAGAGCCGCTTCATTACCGCTGCGCTTTGCGGCTTCACGACTCCGATTAGAGGGTCGCTAGCAGATTCAGAAAGCAAAAGACATTTTAAAGTTAATATTCAAAGGCGCATATGGGAGTACCCATTTAATTTTGAGTGCCATGACGACCTAAAGGTCTTTCCTTGAGAGCGTTAATGACGAATTAGCTAGTAATAGTAGAGGTTTTGATCCGAGCAGATTTCGGGTTCCTTGCTTTTGTCATTGTTGTCTTGCTGGTCTGGCTGGCTGATGTGATTGTGGTGCTTTTCAGCTGCTCCCCGACCTCTGATGGACATCTGCCGACGGGCGATTCGTGTTGAAATGGGACGTCATCGACTGCATCGAGTCGACGAGTTACGGCTACCACCACCGTTGAAGCGATTCATTCTGTATCGAAAATAGCCGTCGGCACATCGTCCGTCGCTGCTGCCATCTTCACGTCTACGGGTCTGCCTCACATGCCCTTTCCCTGATGTCATCATCATCGCTTTTAGCTGGTCATCCCCAGACATCCTCAAATCGCCTTCATACTGTGCTCATACGTTGCGTGTTCGCCCGAAATCTGCTGCTATCCGTTGGGTATATGGACTTTCCGTTCTGCTTTGAGGTCGTGGCGCTACTATATTTTTACCCGATGTTTCCAATTTTTTTCTTATATTTTCACAAATACTCACACTGTAAATAATGCATATAGGTTTTACTGTGGTATTTTTTTAACAATAAGAAGATATGGTTGATATCATTGCTTTATGTCTGATGTTGTCACTTCTTTACCGGACACGCGCCATTCGAAGTCTTTTTGTTGGCCGACTTTCAATCCACACACATACACACACACCTCGGTGACCATTTGTCCCTTTTCATACGTTTGATACTCACTCTTTTACCGTAATCTGTACGTACCATAATCTGGTAGTCTTTATTCTTATTTCATAATATAGACTAATTTTTGTGTCCATTTTACCTTCCCTGGAACGCGTCCGCACTTCTTGTTGAAGGGTTTCCCAACTCCCTACTCCCAACCCCCTCCCCCTTTTTCCCTTCCAAGACTTATTGCTCCTATTTCCGTTTTATGCCTTTCGTTGCCACAAATTTGTGTATAGGTATATGAGATTTGTGCATTTCCCCTACCTATCCACGTTCACTTTCGATCATTCTCACTTCATCGTTGTGTCCTCAACTATCGTCCCCTCATCTGCGCTTGTGTTTAGGCCAACCGTGCCCTGTTCAATTGCTAATGTTTACGATTTGAATGTGTTTATTTTTTGGTGTAAAGACTTCATTGCGTAAAGACCGGTGACACTATAGTTCTGCATTGTCAGATTTCTGTGAATCGACAATAAATATGTTTTAAACGACTGAATTTCATTGTTTTTTTTTCTTCAGAATTGTTCTGTCCCGAAGTCTCATGTTGATCTAAATGTGTAATAAACAATGTGAGACTTCAAAATTTTATTGCAAAAGACTCAAAACTTTCTACAAAAGAAATTGCAAAATGTGTGTTTGCAAAAGTTTTGCAAAAGTTTAGGCCTTTTTGGCGAGCTTTCGGCGCTTAGCGCCTTTGTCGAGCCTGAAATGAAAATTAGAAGCTTTTTAAAGTACTTTAATATTTTTAGTAAAAGGGGTGCGCTACCATGCTATCCTGTAGAAATGGTATGACCGTTGTCAAGTGACCGTGATGACGCATTTTCAACCGAGTCTATTTATTTCGAAAGAGATGGTAACGGAAGGTAGAAAAAAAATGATCCTGGAAATGAAAATTCTTGGAAACGGTAGTGTAACTACAACAGTGGACAGCGGAGCCGAAGAAAAAAAAGGAGCATAACGAACTGAAGAAATATGAAAATCCCCATCGTTGAATTCTTGCCACTTTCAAGAGAATGAAGTGAAATCGGTGGTGGCGTAAAAAATCTACAAAACTGCAGAACTGTTTTTTAGGGGTCGTTTTAAGGCAGAATTTGCGATGAAGGAAGCAAACCCTTAAAATAAGATAAGGATGGTGAGTGGTACACGAAAGAAGGAAGAACCATGAGAAACGGCCCAGAACCCGAGAAATGGGACCCTTCCTTGCCCGTTGATTTCCGCATTGATGCGACTCTCATCGCTGTGCCCTCTTCAACACTACGCTCTCTCTGCTATCTAATCACTCGCCACGTATAGACCTGCGGCGAGTGATTAGATAGTCGGTGGGCGTACCCGCCAACGCCAAGAGTGAGCCATGCTAGATCGCCGAGGTCAAATCTTTCGCTGCCAATTGCGCGTCAGTCCGCACCCTCAGGAGGTCCGCCTGTCTCCCCACTAGGCAATTTCCAACTTCTTCGACCTTCGTTCTTATCGTGGAATACCTTTAATGTAATCATTCGTTCCAACACTGTGTTATCATTGACACAGGAGCAATATCAGCACCATGCTCAAAAACCTGCGCTAAAAGTATCCCCATCAATGGATGGAGTATTTTTGAAGAGGCAACCAGCAAAAAATGAAAAGAAACTGCGAGGCTAAAAAAACGTGCTACTATGGAAAAGGTCAACAGTGAAACGTAGAAAAAATGGGGGATAAAATTCAAAAAAAAGACATGAAAATGTTGCAAATGAGCTATGGATGCCAGGGTCGAGTGCTCTAATTGTAAGCAAAAAACGCTGCAGATGTGAACTGCTATTCGATGTGAGCACATGGACTGGTTTCCGTAAGTTATGATGTCAAAATTATGCCATTGAAGAGTAGCCACATTCTGAGTGGAGGTCAGGTGTGTGGCGCATCCTACAAAGAGATGATTCGAAGCCATAGGCTTCATTTCCTGTTCATAACAGCAAAAAATGAGCATTGAACAATGATCAGTGAGCAATGGGAGAAATCCTGGTGTCCTCGAACATGCTTGGGAATGGCGTGAAGGAAACCCGTCAAAGCAAAAAAGTTCACGCTAATCTTGGAAATAAGTTTTCTGTGCACATAGTGGGCCAAAATTATGAGGCAGCATCGTGTGTGCGGTCATTTCCAATTTTTTCCACTTTCTCCATTTACATCTTCTTTTCTGTGCACTTTGCCATAGAGTACATTGTCTTCTTCCTAATGAAACCAAGTTCATGAAACTCTCAAATAACTCTCCTTTCAAAAGCGGAGAAAGGTCGGGTGCCAGAACAACAACCCACAACGGGACGGACGCCTCCAATAAATCTGGTTAGAAGTTGTTCATTGTGATAGCTGATTTCTGGTAAATGATAGTTAATTAGTGGTAATAGAATACAACTGCAACAGGCTAATCGTTTCATTGGCAGAAAACATTGACATTTTGTGAAGGCTGCCGTCACTTGCGGTGCATGGTATGCACCCAAGGGGAGGATAACTACCCTCGCTTTCAAATGAAAGATGTTCTTGAATCGATGCCACGTTAATGCCACGTCAATTTCTGCAATTGCACAATTTCTGGTCATTTGAAGGCGAGGGTACATCACAGTTCGTCAGAGTTCAAATTAAACTCAGTAGGGGTGCTGGGACGTTACATGTAGCGGCAGTTCAATGTAGCAGGGAAGCTCATACGGGTAACGGTTGAATACGCTAATACGGGTACGCTTCAATAAGTTCGAAAACAGCAGAAAAGATGGAAAATGCGGAGATACGAAGGACACAGTTATTACCAGGACAATTATTAGATGCAGAAACCCGCTCTCCTATTATCTTTTGTACCCCCTATGAAAAAATTGTAAAAACCTCAGCCTGACTACCTAAAGACTCCACATCTGTAGTGGATAGAAAGCCACACGAGTAGTCTACTTGGAACTTCTTACAGGACCGAGCACCCAAGAATAAAGCAAAAATTCTCTAAAAAGCGATTTTTCGAGTTCGTTGCTTTCGAAGAATTGTTCACAATGGAACCATCTACTTGATATCTCTAGCTTTCGGTATTTGGAGGAAAGCGCATATGAAAACCCTACAAATTTTGATCCCCTGACGAAAGCAAAGCAGCAGACCTGGGAGTACATATTTTGATACGCCTTATTTGCGTGCTATCTCTCTTCATATGAAGGCTCATGTAAACGCGGCAATCCTATTCTTGATTTAATTTGGGATAAGAGTTACAAACCCTGAAGTTACCCTTTTTACTACCCTGAAGTTTATTTGTTCCACCGAGGTACTATGCCTTCATGAAGACACGATAACTTTGTCCTCATAACTTTGGCCCACCCTGTAGAATGCATGAAATAAATGTCGTATGATCCTAGAAAACAATGCAAATTTAAGTCTCTTTTAATCTTTGTACAATATTTTTGAAGAGGGAATTAATTTTCCAAGTTATGGTCGTTGAAGATTGACAAATTTTGCGACTTCATTTCACGATTTCAAATATGTTAAGTAAGCTATGAAGAGCGCGCTACGTGAAGTAACCTATAGCTTCATCGTTCCTGCTCTACCTCCTCTATTCGAGTTCAGAATGAGAAGAGAAGAGATCCATGCTTTTCACGCTTAAAGGAGGAATTCACGATTAGAATGAAGGTCGAAGAAAGGGAAACTGACCTAGTTGAGGGACCCACGGACCTCCTGAGGGTGCGAACTGACGCGCAATTCGCATGGAAAAATTTGACCTCGGCGACCTATCATGCCTCAAAGCTGGCGGGTCCGGCGATCTCCGCCCACCGATCATCTGATCACTCGCCGTAGTTCAATACGTGGCGAGTGATTAGATAGCTGAGAGAGCGTAGTGTTGAAGAGGGCACAGCGATGAGAGTCGCATCAATGCTCGAATCAACGGGCAAGGAAGGGGTACCATTTCTCGGGTTCTGGGCCGTTTCTCATGGTTCTTCCTTCTTTCGTGTACCACTCACCATCCCTAGGTTAATTTGAAATGGGTTGCTTTTTCATCGTGAATTCGTCCCTTTAAGTTTGTATAACTTCGTATAGCATACATTATACGAAGTTCAGAGGATCAGGAGTAGGTTTGTGTCCTTCGGAGATACATCTCCGCTTGTCGTAGTCCCATATTTGCGGTATCAAATGGGAGATCTCCTCACTCCCACGCCAGATAAGCCGTCTGCACCATGGCAGTCTCATGGCTGTTCTACTGTCTGGGCCACGCCCGTCGTACAGCAAAAATGGGCGGAGTTCTCGCAGAATACTCGGCTATGGCTGCAGCGCCAATCGATGTCCCGCGGATAGAAATCGCGGAGGGACCCTCATTGGGTCCCGACACGATCATCAGCAGTACTACAGACTTCCGTACAATTGTCAGTAGTGCCGCCAGCCTTAGCCTAACCAATAGGAGACAAGCGGCTCGTCTCCTATTGGTTAGACGGTGTGTCGCCTTTTTCGTTTGCAGCAGTGGGCAGTAGTTCCGCTTCTCATGAGGCCAAGCAGCTCCAAGGCCGGTGTGCGGCGACCCGCCCTCGCCCGCCCCCGTCCCAAATAGCCCAATCACAGGTGCTAGGGCGGGGTGCAGCAATGCTGCCATGCGCCTGACTTTGAATTTGAATGAAAATGAAAAAAAAAAACTTTGAATAAACTTAGCTTCTGACTGATTGATGTAACGCTGCGTTGCGCTGAATTCCCGGCGATCATTTAAATGCAGATAATAAAAAATGATCAAAAAAAAACTTCGGCCGCAGCACTAGTGCTATGATGCCCTAGCATTCTCTGAGCAGGAGACTATGACGTGGAAGAAAATCCTTGTTCTGTAAGGCTATCGGGGTCGAATTTAGAGCTCTTGCGCTCTAATATTAATGTCACGAGCTAAATTGCTCTGTGACTATCACGCTCAGACGTTCCAGACACATAGTTGATATTGGTGTGCTGTTCTTTAAAAATTATTGTACACATACGCGCCCCAGTGTCAGCACATGCGTTGCATCAGCAGATATATTTCTTTATGTGCCATCGGGTGGGTGTACGAATATGCGATCACAATCGCTAAGTCTGACACCTTTTCATTCTGCATAGTGACTCTCGCTGGTGGACAGGGTATTGGTATGCACTCAGGGACCTCTCATGACACCATATTTGACCCTGCTGGTGCCAAGGATTGGTTTGCTAGGACATAAACGACTTTTTCGCTTTCGCAGCGCGAAACTTTTTAGCAGCGAGAACCAGGGTTAATATCGGTCGAGGAATCCGCGAC